CAGCTCCCTTCCTTCCCTTCCCCCTTCATTATAAAAACATGAACTGTAGAGAAACCAAATACCACATGGCGCCCTGCGCCGAGCCCGTCAGTGCTCCCGGCTCGGTGTTCAGCACAAAAAGTCCCTTTATATTTGGGAAGCGGAGGGAGAAAATTCTGGAAACGCAAGAACGTGGCAATAGTGGCTGAATCAGCACATTTATTTGTGCTGATATTTATTTATCAGTGTCCAGGCGCTCGACCCCTCAGCCCCTCACACACCCACGGGCCCCACGCCAGAGCGGGGGAGAATCCCGGGGGTATCCAAAAGCTCCACATCAGTTTATGGCTTTGCAGAGGGCTCTGGGCAGTCACCGAGGGGCTGAACGTAAAGAGAGAAAAATGAAAGCTTTAGGGGGAATAAAAAAATAAAAATTGCATTTCTGTCTTCCCGAGGAGCCGTGGGTGTTTTTAGGCAGCTGCCTGCAGAGGCCGTCGCCATTTCGTGAGGCGGCATTAATGCAGCGGGAGGAGACATGTTGTGCTTTTCATGGAAATTCGGATTTTAAGGTTTTTCTCCTTGGTTTGAAGCTTCTTCATTCTTCCTTCACCCTCTTTTAGTCCAAAGGCTTTAATTTTTAAACTTAAGGGGAAAAAAGTAATACCAACAAGTGAGGAAAACTAGGGGGAAAAGGGAAAAGTTCTTCTGAAGGGATTACAATGTGCAAGCAAAATCAGGTCTCTATCCAGGAGAGAAAAAAAATATTAGAGGTGTAAATTGGCTCCGAAAATGCCCCCAAGGGCATAGGGAGGATAATCAGGATGACTGTGTGGCTGAGCACTCAGCATCCCAGGCATGGCCCAGGTGTGCAGGGAAAATGCCGTTCATCGGGCATGTTTTAAATAGAGAATTTTTCTCTGGTATGAAAAGATACCTGACTGGTCTGTGCATACACAAAACCAGCCCTTTGTGATTTTCATGAGCCGACTTGACTTCCAGGTTTTGAGATACTAGTTTTGATCTAAAAGCTCAGACTATTGCTAGTGCTGCAGAACTGCTTGTTTGATCAAAGGAGAAAATAGGGATTGCGGCAGGAGAGAGGTCAGGCAGATCCCCTTCGGTGCAAAACTCCTAGAGCAAACTGCAGTGTTTCTGTTAAGGGCCTTCTGTATTGGAGTTGACTTCTTCCACTCCAGGACCTTTCACTTGCAAAATACATTATAGGGCTCATTTGTTTAACAAGTCTCTGGGAGCTGCGAGAGAGAATTAATGCTGGCATTTGGAAATACAAGTGATAGTGCTGCATTTGATTTTGGTTTCATGTCATTATTTTCTGGTTCCAGAGTCAGAAAAAGCTGCTCTTTATTTTTCATGCAGCTGTACTGTTTTTTCCTGACTTCTTGAGGAGGCAGAGCTAATGAAATCGTGCTGCAAGAGGCCTGAAGCTTTTGATCTGATGTTCAGTTTCAACAAATTTCACTTTTGGAGTTTCTGCACTTTGGGGGAGGCTGCAGGTTATAGAAACGAATTAGTGCATCTGCTAAAGGAAGAACTATGAAATTAGTGCAAAGGGTCTCTGCTCACTTTCCTTGCTGACCCAACTGACTGGTGAGTAAAGTGTAGCTCAGGAATATCACAGCCTCTGCTGGAATATGGCACGGGATCAGGAATGCTGCAGCAGTGCAGCACAGTTGGGTGTGTGGCTGCCTACTCTTAGGAAAGCAGCCATCGTTATTTCAGCTGCTCATGAAAGACTTGATAACTTCCAGCCATGGATTCAAATCCCAACTAAGTTTGCAAGGAATATCAGTCATATTTAAAACCAAGACTAAGTCAGATTCCTCCACATTAGCTGCAGTTGAATTTTGCAAGGTTTCTGATCTCCTCACTCTGGGTGCGAAGGTGTTTCCTTTTCAAGCCTGTCACCTGAAAAGACTTCTATGAGACAGTGATTCCTTCAGTACAGAAAAGCAATGTAGAGAAACCTCTTTGCCACCCCAAGATCATTATTTTCTTGATTGCCCTCTTGTACTCTGCTGAGGTTACATTACATCTGCAGGTCAAATGTAACATGAATGCAGCATGCACTGATGACATATAGCAATATATATAGTAAAGAGTTTTAGTGTGAACATCATGCACATCCTTGGTTTGTTTGTGTAACACTGTGTATTATACAGATAATATAAAGCATAAAATAGTTTTCATATATAACAATTACTTTTCCAGCATATACTAATGTGCCTTTTATAAAGTCCTAATTAGGTTATGTTTTCTCCTAAACTTAATTCCATTTTATTAACAACAGCTGAGTAGACTTCATTTTTGGTTCCAATTTTCATTCTGTTCAGTGTGTGTATATATATGTATACACAAGAAGATAATCCTTTATTAATCTTTTGAGCAGAACACTTTTCTTTCGTACAGCAAAAGTCCTGTCTCTGAATGTTCATTATCAGCACCTGATGTGCTGCCTGGACCACAATATCCTAATAATTGGAGTTTAAGGGTTAAAAAAAGCCGGTTATTAAAGTTACAGTGTTTCATTTTTGTGTATGTTATGATTCTAAATTATTCAAGCATTTGACTAGCTCCTACACATAGAAACTTATGTCTCCCATGCATTTTTCCACCCCAAAGTGTTCTATGGTTTCCTTTGTCTTACACACTACGTCAGAGTATTCAAATGCACTGTGTAGTACCAGTAGCGTGTGGCACATTACAAGAAAATTTGAGATAGTTTCTCAATTAAGTGCATTTTATTTTGACCTATTTCCTTCCACTTGAGTCTAACATTTGGTCTCTTCATAGCCAATATTCTGTTTTATGGAAAGGTTTTAAAATTTTACTGAAGGAGATGAGTAAGAGGTTAAGTTCCCAGGACAACTTAAATTTATATTATTCCTTTTGCCATTATTATTAAAAATAGGAAAGAAGAAGTAGTGTTGGGGAAAATACAGGGAATACTGATGCAATTATACCTACATGTGCAAAGCTACGTGCTTGCTTTTACTCTTGAAATTTAGACCTCTGCTTCACGTTCTATTTCCTTCTACACACTGGGATAGTTAATTTCAGTTGCATTTTCCAACTACTGACATACATGTTCATTCCTAAATTCACTTCATATACTTCCAAAACGTTAGGACAACATTCACTTTAGACACACCAAGAAAAACCTGGAGTGATTCCACCGACCTAAATGTAATTACTCAGTGCTGAATTAAAGGCACAGGCGCATAACTTAAGACCCATGTGTTTGGAGTAAAAAAGCTCAGCTTTTGTCATTAGATTCAATGTTTCTAGACCTTAATCCAAGACACATTTGTAGAGAGAGGTGATAGCTTCTTTTTAGAAGAATTATTAAATCTAGAAGAAAGTAAGTCAATTCTAGGCCTGTTGGGGTCTTCCACTGGGTGAAATGGCCATGAAGGTGGCAGTCAGATTTTTCAGGTGGTGATTAAGTGCTGTGGATGTCTCACCCAAGTCATCTTGCATTTCCTGTGCTGCTTTAATTGCACAAAGAGCCATTGACCTCATTTTGTGACAGGACTGTACCAACAGTGTTTTCGTGGACTGCTTACGTTTTCTCCCAGCTCACTGTCTAATAGTAATCTGTTACTAAATATTTTAAAAAAAAGTGAGCCGTGAATGGTTTTAAGCTGAGACAAGATTGTCACTGTTAATGGCTTGGTCAGGGAGAGAGAGAGTATTTGTTTCAGCATGTGAATCTCCTTCCTGCAACAGTTAAAGCTGCTAAATCTGGAGTTTAGGTGGCCGACATGTCCAGGGCTGCTCTAGTCCCTGGGCTGATGAGCTCTCCCAGCTGGGTAAAGCTCTGTCAGGAGCCAGTTTATAGTGAATTGACTGTAGGAAGAAAATATAAAAGCTCATGGGAAACATGAGCCTGACACAGGAGCTATTTCTTTTCAGGTGGCATTCTAACCTAAGTGTGTGGTGAATCACTACAGCAAAAATTGATTGGACCCCATATCTAACGAGTATTGACAAATATGAAGAAGTTTGTTTTGAGTTAGTAATGTAAGGGGTCTTTTATATATATGGTGCATTACAACAGGGTGATTCAGGGCTTTCTCAGACTGTCTATAAAAATAAAAAAATTATATGCTTGTAAGATTTCAGAAGAAAAGGTACAGTTTCTTTTCCCTGCATGTGGCAATTTGCTGAATAATGCATCATTTTGTCAACTCTTATAGAGCAATCGATAAATGCCCTACAGTGCTCCCTGCACACAGGAGACAGGAATGAAGATCATTATGGAAACAGGCTTGAAACTTGCTTGAAATAAAGATCCCAGTTCTATATTTGTGGTTTTGGAGGCCTGGGCTGTTTTTCTTTTCATTCTAGAGTAGCTGTAATTCATCTTGTTCGATTTGAGTGAAATTCACCATGTTTCCAAGGCTAGTATGAAACTCTTTGTTTCCAAAACTCCAAGGAGATTTACCAAGAAAGTATAGTTGTTGTTATGCTCATCATCTAAACTTCCCAAAGTCTCCACTAGAACTTAAATGGAGAGTTGGTAGAAAATGAAAACTAGAGCTTATGGTTGTGAATTTTTTTTTGTCCTTGATTTTAATTGTTAACACATATTTGTGTTAAGCCTGTTTTCCCTTTTCTGATCATACTCCTCAAACACTTAAGCAATCAAGCTTTACTGGCTCATGTTTGCAGCAAATAAATTTCAAGGATGGACAGGTAAATGCCTTTGGAAAATGAGCTTTAAATGTGCATAAGGAAGTAATTATGCTAGAATTTCAAATATCTGAGTTTAAAAATTAAATTATTAATTTCATTGTTTATATGAAAAATGTAATTTCACAACTACATTTGAAATCCAAATATTCTGAAGATTCGGCTTAAAAGCTATGAAATATTCTGACTCTTTTCGTAACAATTCTGTGGCATGTTGGAAAATGGGAGAACAGTGTCTTTATTTTGAAACACAAGATTGAGTATGACTCTCTTAATCGTGCCAATGCTTTTTTTTTTTTTTTTAACAGACTCTTGATAAAACAATGACCACAGAACGCTCCTGTAACTCTTCAGACCGTGTTTACAGCCAAGATGGTGAGATAAAGAACACCGCTTGCAGCTTCTACCTTTTAAAGTGATTTTAAACCTTACCACTGTTACTAATCTTTGCATGTTTCCAGTCCTGCAAGTTTCCAAGCAGCGAATTTCATCAGTGCAGAGCACTTCGTGCGTAAGTCAGGTCACAGCACCTGCCTTTTCATGCTGTACCCACCGGCACTGCAATCCCTGGGAAGGTGCACTTTAGTTTCTTATTTGCTTTCAGGGGTGATTTCAGTAATGAGCAAAGTTGCATCATTCTTTTTCGTGTGAGGAGACATGTAATAACTCGTTAACACTTTTATCAATTCCAGTGTCTAAGTAGGTACAGGCAAAATAGTCAGTCAGTGTTTTTTTCTACCATGTCCCAGTCCTCTTATAAAAGTTTTTCAAGCCAAGCAGAACAGTTTGTTACCTAAAAGCTGACTTGAAAAAACAGATCACTGCATACAAGTAGCAAGGTTTAAAAAAGGGGGGTGAAGAAACATATTTGTTGTTCTAAGAACAATGATTTACATTAAGAAGCCATTAAACATATTATTCCAATCACCCCTATTCTTTAAGTTTGAAACAGTCTGGAGTTTAAAAGTCTCGGAAGATATCATCAAAATAAGGTCTACTGTGTCTTTTTGACTTTTCTTACACCTCTAAGGCTGCCATTTAAGGCAGTAACTGTGTGTTAGATGTTGACCAAATACAGCATAAATACCTTGACTGAGATGATCTCTATTTCCTACAGTTAAGATGGCAACATGGGATAATTTGAAGATGATCTGTACTAACAACAAAGAACTTCAAGTTTCAAACCTCCTTAAAAAAGTGGACTCGATTTCCCCCCAAAAAATGTGTGTACATTCCTTAGTCAAGTTAATATAAAGTGTGATAATCAATCCTCTCACCAAACAATAGTTGCTGTTCTGTCATTTGTCTTACTGTACACAGGAACTCATGCAAAACTGAAACAGCAATGTGGGTCGGTTGTTAAGGAGCTCGTAGATCTAAAATTTGAGCTCAGGCCACAAGATCACATGTACAGCAACAGAACCGATTCTTTGATGCATTGTGATCAACAAGTTAAAAATCTGCTTAGGAGAGATCATTAAATCCCACAGAATACATTGAATCGCTTTTTGACTCCCATTTAGTCATTATAATTTTTATTAATAACTTATTTTCCTTTGAAAACAGGAATAAAAAGAGCAGAATCTTGGTTAAAGTAGCTTCATTTTGAATAAAATGAAAAAAACACTGGAGTTTGGCTTAGACTGAAAGATTTTTTCTTTACCATATGTTTATGACACTGATAAGAATTTGTTTCTAATTACTCCTGGTAATAAATCTTTTTCTTGCTGCACACAAGGTTCCTCATTCTGAACATGAGCCCCATAAAAGTGCCAGCAAACCCTCCTTATTAACATAATCTCAGTTTCCAGTGTTAAATCCTAGGAACAAAAAGGGCATATGTAAAAGTTCTCTCTATGTGTGTAGATGTGTTTGCAATTATTCATTACTGGCTGGAGCAAAAGTCTGGATTTGAATTCCAGTTCCAGGCCCCTGGCAGAATGAACAGCATGAGTTCATTGCTAGAGCTCAGTTTTATCCTTGCTGCTGCTGAGTTTGTTGCTTGTCTTGTGACAGGAGGAAAAAGCTTTGGCTGGGATCAATACACCATAATCACCTCCACCAGTCCCACGGGGAAGGTGGCTCCATGCTTAGAAGGCAAATTTGTATCTACCTGTGCAGTTACTGTGATTTTAATAGTGAATTACTGAGGAAGGAAACAGAAGGAGAAAAAAGAAGCCCAGCTTGTTTGTTTGTTTGACCAACATCTTAACACGTTACATACAAAAGCTCAAAATAGAGCTCTACGTGATTTGGGACAGAGACAATTTTGAACACAAAGTTTGCAGGAAGTTAAATGCCTCCCACAAATAGCTCGCTGTGCTCAAAGGGTATTTGATGTCCCGTTTGCATAGTCTCTGTTGAAGCAATCTAAACTATTCTGTTTGATTTAGGGCCTGATTTCTCCTGGAAAGTGAGAGTTTTGGTTGAAGAAAAGCTTGGTGACACTGCACACCTCTCAGTCTTGCTTAGACTCCTGTTTTCCACTTCAAAAGGCAGATACAATACTTAACTCTTTTGTCCAATGTTTGCCTTTCCACCGTATTTGTGTCTCTAGAGAGTGTGCTACCCTTGCACCCTGTGTATCACGAAGAACAAGCTGCTTCACCAACCTTTTGGTATCCTCTGGTACAGAGGACACGGTGGGGCAAGCAGGGAAGGGATGGTGCCCTGTGAAATCAGTGTGCCTTTGTATGTTGTCCCTAAGGGATAATAACACTGGGGCTGGGGGGGGAGGGAAAAAGGGTTCTAGAAGAAAAAAGAATACCAGAAAGTGAGGTTATGTGCCTCTATCTGGAATTCCAGCCACAGACGCAATCTCAGAAAATAGTTCCCCAATTAGTAATGGAAACATTAAGTTGTCTCCTTAGTATCAGATGTGTGGTTCATAAAACATGGCTGAAGTATTTGGTCTAATGATACACAAAGGAAGAAAGTGTGTCATCTGAAAGAGAAGGAGTGAACTGTATGGAGGAAATTGCAGTGTAGAAATGCTGAATTTAGAAGAAAAAGAATGGGGTAATTGCAGAAGCAGTAGGAGCGACAATTTTGTTCCACTGTTGCATTAGGAAGAAGAACACAGACCGTTACTGGCAAGGAACAGCAAAGCTGTGTGAGGAGAACCATGGCTCTGGAGAGAGTGTACTTGTGTTCACCTCCATACAACTCGCTTGGAGCCAAGAAACAGAGGAGGTCATGAATACTCCTGTAAGGTTTTTTGGAGCTGCTTTAGGCTTTGGTGTGCCAGGAAGCAAAAGAGCATCACTGAATACGTTTAACTTCCAGTCATTTTTTGGTTACATGTAGCAGCAATGGAGTAAGGCACTTCCAAAAACATTTCTGTCTGTAAATGTACACGGATATTATTTTTAAAGAGAAACAGTCTCTTATACTAGACAGTCTGGTATAGTTAGAGAAAATCAGATAACAGTCTGAGCACACAGGTTAGGTCTTGTTTGGTTATAATCTTAAACTCTCCTGACTGGAATCACACTAGTCTTACAAAGTGCAATTATGTCTAGAATGCCTGATCTCTTTTCCCTCTTTCATGCGGTTATTGCAAGTGATCACACTCTATATATTTTTCTAGAAATGTACTTCTGATCTGTGGAGAAACAATAGAAAGGCTGGAAAAGTTTACATGGAATTCCAAATCTTGGTCCATGCTATGAAGTTGTACCTTGCAGGGTCAGCTGAAAATGCTGACATCAGCAGAAGTGCTGTTGCTGCACCCTGCTTTTATCTAGTTCCTGCCTTCCCCCTTGTTTTCACTGCTGGTGGTTTTCCAAGGAGGACAACATCTGGATTCTGTCCGTGCAAGCACCTTTACATTCAGTTACGTGTGAGCACTTCCACTGAGAGCAAGAGGATTAGCTTTTGCAGGAATCTGAATAGCAATGAAGTTGCAGAACAGGCCTCCTGCTCTCCATAGTCTCTGTAGACCAAAACTTCAATTCTTTTTCTTGTGAGGGGAAAAAAAAAAAGGCCTTTTGCCCTTTTTCAGTGAGAAGCTGCATCTGCTGTTTTGTTCTACCACTGATTCCTTGGCTGGAGGCTCCCATGCTGTGGTACCTTTATGTGGGCCTCCACCATCTCGCCTTTGAAGATGGTAACACCTTATCCCACTGTCTACAAGCAGTAGATATCCCCTGCTATCCTATACACGAGGTCACCTTTTCTCTGTATTTTGAAAGGAAATACATCTCTCGGCTCAAAGTCATAGTGATTGATTCTGTTCAACTGACCACCTCCTTGAGGCTTTTCCAGGACACAGCTCAGGAGAGAGCTGCTAAAAGTCCAACTGTGTGATTTCAAGAGCCAGAGTGGCTCCTGAGACCTTCCATAATCACTTGAAGCATTGTGGGTTTAATTCTGCCATAACTACTCACATTGTTAGCATGAAAAAGGAAGAATGGGAAAATTTCTGGTTTTAATGGAGTAAATTGGGCAAATGAAAGAAGGTAAAGGCATGTGTATAATTTAAAGTGACTGCTGAAGTACGTAAATAATAATTCTAGTCGTTTGCTGGGTGTGCTTCTTGCGCAGGAACACCATAGCTGGGGTTGGGGACAGCACTGATGGCAGTGACCAGGAATGGGGGGGATGCCCTTCCATCCTGCTGATATCTGAAGTGGTTTCCATGGCTGTAGTCAAAATAGGAGACAGTGTCCTGGTGAGGTTGGCACGACAGACAGTTTCTATGGTGTTGGCTAAAAAAAGCAGGACACCTAGTTTTATTTGGGTGTCTGTGCTGTTTCTGAGCAGCGGTAACGAGGGCTGGGACTGATGTGGCAGAGGGGCGGGTGTGGTGTTGTTGCTGTGGCTCCGTCCCTCAGGAGCTGAGGGTGCACAACACAGGGTGTGTACCCGGATCAGAGTAGAGGGGTTTGTGGACCTGCTCTCTGTGGTGAGCCTGGAGGGCGAGCTGCCCCTGGGCCAGGCCACGTCAAGGGCTGACAAGAACAGAGGTGTCGTTTGTGGAATGGCAACAAGCGGGGCCGCGACATGCGGGGCGCCAGCAGCCACCTCGGGGGGGGTGAACCCCCTGTGTATCAGTGCAGGCAGGCGAGGGTATGAAGAGATGTCTGGAGAAGGGTCTGCCAGAGAAGGCGGCGCTCGGACCGAGCGGGGTCAGGGCGGAGGTGGGCTCGGCCTGGCCAGGTGGGACTGGGAGGGGGCGGTGGCGACTCCCGCTCCCGCTCCCGCCTCCCTCTGAGGGGCGGTGGCTGCGGCCAGGCGCGGGGAGGCGGCGGCAGCCAATGCGGAGAGGCCGAGGCGGGAAACGCGGGCCAATAGGAGGCCGCGGCCGCGGCGCGCGCGCGCAGCCGGGGGCGGGGCGAAGCGGAGCGGCGCGCGGGGAGGGGCGGGGCGCGCGCACGGGGCCGCCCCTTCCCCGCCGCAGTGAGGAGCGAGCGGGCGGCCATGTTGTGCGGGGGGAGGGGAGGAAGGAGTTGAGAGGAGACGGCGGAGGCTCCCTCACACACACGGCACAAGATGGCCGGGGAGCAGCCGCGGCTCCCGCACGGCTCCCGGGCGCGCTCCCCGCCGCTCGCTCGGGGGACACCCGGCCGGCGCCCCGGGTGCCGCGCTCGAGGGCCAAGTTGGGCCCGGCACTCTGGGGGCTCCGGGGCTGCGGAGGGCGGCGAGTGGGGCTGCCGAGAGGAGCTGCGACGGGCAGGCAGTAATGGCGCCGGGGCTGCGGAGCGCTGCTCGCGCCGCTCCCTCGCCGGGCGGGCGCGGGGCCGCCCTTGGCCGCGGGAAGGGCGAGCGGGGGAGCAGCGCCCCGTCCTCGGGGCCCCCGGTGCCGGCCAGCGGGCTGCTCTTCGCCGGGTAAGTGCCGGAGTCTCCGCGCTCCTCATTGTCCTTTGTCCTTGGGAGGAAAAACAAAATGTCCTTGGAGCGGGAGGGGGAGGGGGAGCTGCCTCTCCCTGCCCCCTCCTCGCCCCCCCGCCGCTCGGTGAGGGGACCCGCGGGGACTCTCGGGGACCCCCACCCGTGTCCTGCCCGCGCGGGGCTGAGGGGGGCGGCGGGACCGAGGGAGCCCCGGTGCCCCTCGGTGGCTGCGGCGCTGCTGTCCCTGCCCTGCAGCACCCGCGGGGCTCCGCACGCCCCGGCCCCGATGCAGCACCGAGGGGGCAGCGGCGGGTTTTGGGTCCCCGGTGCGGCACCGGGCACAGGGGGGGCTGCAGAGCGGCTCCCCCAGCGCGGCGGACGAGGGGGGCATCTGCAAACCAGCCTGGAACTCCAATGCAGCAGAGGAGGGAGGGGGGAGAGGTGAAGGCTGTACGACATCATCACTTAAATGTTTAGCTCCGTGTCGGTGTAAAGAGCGTTTGTTGCCGTCGCTGCTCGGATGGGTATATGTTTTCGTAGTTGGTGAGAACAAAGACGCCATGTCCTTTTCTCTTAAAAATAAAACTTGGTGTGGTGGTTTTGGTTTTTTTTTTTTTTTTGGTGGGGTGTTGGCTTTTAACTCTTTGTAAACCAGTAAGGAAAAAAAAACAGGCTGCGGATGAGACAGATAAGTACTTGGCTGAAACAATAGAGAAGAATTGACTTCACTTGAAAAACAGCAGTTCAGGTGCAGAACTTTAAAGAAAACTCTTAAGAATTACGTGCAATATGATTTTGCAATTAAAACGGCAATGCAGAAACTTAGAAGCTTGAAAAAAACAAAGCTCAGTCATGCCAAGTCTACAGTTTAAAGTTGGCAAAATACTACGGTTGTGATTTAGACGACGCTACGAGAAGAAAAGGTAGTTACTTAAATATGAATTACATGATGAGGAAACGGATGAGTTTGTATGTTACATGGAAAGCTTTTAAAAACGTTTCTTGGGTGTCAGGTTTGTTTTTTGTGTTCAGTTTATGCGTTTTTCAGAGACCTCACAGTCATTCTCTTTACGAAGCGTTTTTTATCGTCTTTTCGGTGCTTAATAATTTTAGAAGTTTTTAGTATTGCAAGACTTTCTAAAAATGCAAGTTTAAATGGAATGCCTGACGTTTGTTATGCGTTGGCTCGCATTCAGCAATTCCCAATTTAAGGGCAAAATTGTAATGCTGAATGTATAAAAAGTCTCTGTGGTAGAGCAAGAGGTAAATATTAAGAACTTTAGTTTTAATGGGAGGTTGTGTATAGCCATGTTTGTTGGATTTCTATGGTGTACACTTGAGCAAGGTTATAAAACTCTGTGCAGGTTTTAAACATTGCAGTTGGAGGTAAACCTACATTTTTCGGTACTTCCTCTGCAAATGTGGATCCGTCATTGCAACAATACAAGTTTGCCCTTTTTTGGAAATAGAAATACAGGTTTTAGCAGCCGCTGGACTTCTTCACCTTTATGTAAAGTGTTCAGTGTCTTTATTTTAGATTTAGATTGTGGTGGTTTTATAACCCCAGCAACAGTTCTGCAGTATAGAACAGGTTCTGGCATATACACTTTGCCCTAAAGAAAGTTCTAGCTTTAGGTGGGTGTCTGCTGGATTTCTCTTTTTTTAAATATATTGAGGGATTTTTTTTTTTAAATAGCTTTGACTGGTTTCTTTTAGCAACTGAAAATAAAATAATAAGTAATTGTCTCAGAAAATAAATTCCTCCTAATTCGTAATGTGTTTTGTTGAACAGTTCTGCTTTTTTATATTTAAGGTATAGGAATTAAAATTTATATTTGGGTACCT